GGTCCTCAAAATTAGTAAACATACTAATGGTCAGTAAGATACACCAATATATAAGAAGTATTGTATATTAATATCACAGATTAATATCAATTTAAAATGATCACAGAATTCACAAGCTCTGTTTGCACAAAATTGATTAATCAATTAAATGATATAATGCCTAATATACATATATGCTAGTATAGTAAAAAGTTAAAATTTCCAGGGTTTTATGCTAATATAGCATGATTTAAAACACATATGCAGATTTATGTAAAAAAAATGATAGTTTAAGAACTCAAAAAATAATTTACGAGTCTGCTCCTGAAAGAATTAAAATGTGGAATGTCTTTTTAATCAGATTGTAGACTATTCCAAGCTTGAGCACCAGATGTTAAAAACTGTTTTGAATAAAAAATAGTGCTGTGCTTATATATAGGGACAACAACCCATGCCATGAATACATTTGTTAAATATACGCAGCTACTTAAATTTAAAAACTTTCTCAATAGGTAATTGTTAAATTTAGATATGAAAACATAACACAAGGAGGTGTGTCATATGGTATATCAAGCATAACATGTGCTGCCTGCTTTTGAGCTTTAGACAATTTACCCATCAAATTTGCAGAGCAGCCAGACGATACAGTCCAACAGTAGATAAAATGTGGAAACACACATGAGTTGTATAACTTGATTCTACCCTGTACTGGTAAATAAGGATGAATTGCACCTTAATTACTCTAACCGTTGTCTGTTTTTCGATAAAGTTTTCTCAATATGACCGCTCCAGCACAGATAATCGTCCAGATACACACCTAACAGTTTTTCATTTTCAATTACCTGTTCTACTTCAATGTCAACAAGCTTAAGGTCAAGTTTAACATCATTTCTGGACAGTTCTTGTTTTGATGCAACAACCATACATTTAGTTTTCTGATCATTGACAATCATTTTGTTTTCATTACACCATGTACCCTATATTTTCTAAATCTGACTGAAGCACATGTTGTACATTAGCAATTAAAGATTTTTGTTAGCATAATGAATACTTAAACAGTTAGCATACATTTCAGTATTTGCATTAATAAATGAAGGGTGAGGAGTATTTGAAAACAAGCCAGGTGAGCTAATAAAACAAAATTACCATCAATATTTTTAGCTGGAAGTTATGCAATTCACAATTTTGATAAAAGCACCATAGGGGCCGGTATTGACCATAGGGGCCGGTATTGACTATAGGATTTTTGGGTCTGAAGATGAAGAATTTTTTTTAAATTTAGCCAAATTCCCTAAATTGGCCCCTTCACTCAGGAGGTGGATCAAAAAATAAAATTTTAAACCATTATCTACATATAGCGCCATCTCATGATAATACCCTCATTTGAACCAACTTTTATTTTTTTCTTCTTTTAAAATTGATTAAAATGGGTTCATACGTTGTATTTCCCTATATAATCTAAACAAGAGGCCCAATTGGCCTGCATTGCTCACCTGGTATTCAATTGTAACCTTAAAAGTAGACTAAAATAACGCTACTGGAAAAATATCAGTGTCTTGACTCGAAGTCATTCAAAACAAGGACATTAGGTTGAACTGAGTTTATAGCCTTCCATGCTGAGCATGCTTCTGGACAAATATCATTACCCTGGACCTTTGGTTATTCAGAATAAGTTGATATACGGTTTTTAACATATTTGACCCCTGTGACCTTGAATATGGGTGTCATTCGTTTGAACAAACTTGATAGCCCTTTATCCAAGCATGCTACTGGGCAAATATCATCATCCTAGGCCTTTTGGTTATTCAAAAGAAGTTGTTTAAATGTTTTAAACATACTAGACCCCTGTGACCTTGAATATAAGTCAAGGTCATTCATTTGAACAACAAACTTGGTAGCCCTTCATCCCAACATGTTAATGTCCAAATATCAACACCCTAAGCCTCTTGGTTATTCAAAAGAAGTTGTTTAAGATTTTAACATATTTGACCCATGTGACCTTGAGAATAGACGAAGGTCATTCATTTGAACAAATTTAGTGGTCCTTCATCCCAGCATGCTATTGACCATATATCATTATCCTAGGCCTTTTGGTTATTCAGAAGAAGTTGTTTAAATTGAAAAGTTGACGCCCAACCGACGACGGACACAGCTTCATGGCATAAACTCACTTGCCCTTGGGGCAGGTGAGCTAATAAATTGACTGCAAACAATGGACATGAGACTTTGGTCAAAACGCTCAAAGGCCTCTTGGACAAGGTGATAGGTAATATCAATGACTCACACAAGATTGTTCTTATTTACCCATTTCTTGTACTGATGCCTCCTTCGGTGCCAGTGACCCAACCAAGGTCGTAAAACAAACGACATAATTCTGGGATCAGGTTCCTCGTGTGCTCCTAAAAAACACATGAGTAGTTAATTGCAAATATCACATTCCTCAATTTAGTACATTTGTAAAACTATCAATTTTCAAAACCTCTACTACAAGAGATCAAGATTTTTGAAGTAGAGTAATTAAGCTGTTTAATTCTAGAAGATCACTCGCTTCGTAAATGTAACACATGGTAGTAATCACGTTTAACTTTCCTACCTGGACCCGTATTCATGAAACCGTTCTCATGCTCAAGCATGGATTTTGTGCTCAAGCCTAATTTCTTGTCCCGTTGGGAAATTAATAATAAAATCTTATTTTGTCAATGATTGGAAAATTTTGAAGAGACTGAAAGCCAAAAACCGTTTTCAATGTTTACATTTGACTTTTTGATCGTTTGATATGATTTACAAGAAAGTTGGTCTGAGCACAAAATCCATGCTTGAGCATGAGAACGGTTTCATGAATACAGGCCCGGGTCTTTGTTTTCAAGCATGTCTAAACTATATCCCTGTACAGCAATCTGGCTGATGTTAATTATGCACAGTACGCAATAACACTGTCTCAGGTTTTCAGACGGACACAGTTTTGATAATACAATTGTCAATGACATTATAAAGGTTGTGTTGCATAAAGCCCTTTCTTGACCTTTGTACCATGAGAGTAAACATTCTTAAGCTGGCTGATCATACAATGGAGAAGTGATAGAAGTTTACAAGTCGAAGTGGTCCAACAGTGTCAGTGTAAGGATGTCTAGACTACATATAGCTACTAGTCTGTGTATCTAGGTCAGTGTTTCATCTATCTCGCTCTGGGCTATATGAAAAACAGGCTTTATAATCTTTAGACTGTGATGTTGAGTCTGTGTATATACTATGTTGACATTTTATAAGTCAGTATTTCATCTGTCTGGACCTGTGCTATATATAAATACTAGGTACATGTTCGGTTAATAGGCTTTTCAGTCCGAAGGGCTGTGGTGTCTAGTTATTTGAACTGAGCAACATACCACAAGATCTAATATAGGGAGTGAAAATCATACCTGTCACTGTTGGACCCAGATAAGCAAACAAGGGGACCCCAGACTCTCCAAGAGTCTGTTGCTCTACTGTTTAGCTAACAAGAAATTTCCTCTAGTTTAAACTATAGTTACTAGTAAAGATCAGTCTTGAACACTACGTCCATGATGATGTCTGTCCTCTACAAATATGTACAGTTTAACGCTATAAATTACCTGATCAATACTAGTGACATCGATGACCAGTATCAGGGCATTCATAGTGGAAATTGTAGAATATAGTCACATCACAGCAATCATTTATTAGTAGTGCCATTTTTGCTTTATATCAACAATGTTAAAGTATTTGATTTTGCCTGTACACTTCATTTGCAAGCACTTCTATTACTCTACAGTGACAACTTCAGTCAATCCCATCATTGCCATTGAACAATTACATGCCCAGTTTCTGTGTACTTCATAAGATCTGTTTATGCCATGTCAACTGTATTTACTGTGATAATACATCTACAGTCCAAAATTAAGGAAATGCATCCAAGAAAAAAAAGATAACAAATCATTTTGCAACATATCACTAAAATTCACTTAGAACAATGAAGGCACCTCACAACGATGAACAGATGTATGCACTTATAAATACATGAAGGTGGCGCTTGTATAATAGTCACACCTAAACCACATGACTGTCATGTTGAACAATAGGCCCAATGGGCCTGCATTACTCACCTGGTATTAATCTCACAATTGTAACCTTAAAAGTAGACTAAAATAAAGCTACATGAAAAAATATAAGTGTCTTGACTCAAATTCATTCAAAAAAGCTGTTCTAAGATTTAAACACATTTGACCTCTGTAACCTTGGAAGTCAAACAAGGTCATTCAATTGAACAAACTTGGTAGCCCCTAATCCCAGCTTGTCCCTTGCCAAATATCATCACCCTGGGCCTTCTGGTTATTCAGAAGAATTTGTTGAAAGATTTTAACATATTTGACAACTGTGACCTTGAAAAAGGACAAAGGTCATTCATTTGAACAAATTTGAAAGCCTTTCATCTCAGCTTGCTACTGCATGGCCAAATATCAACATCCTTGGCCTCTTGGTTCTAAAGAAGACGTTGTTTAAAGTAAAAATGTTGACGACAGAAATGTTTACCTTTTCCTTTTTTCTCATTTATTTTATAATGATAAAAAGGTAATCAAAAACAGGTTTCACAAGTACTTTTGTTTTAAAGTAAATTAGTTTGAACAAACTTGGTGTTTCCTTGCAAACGTGAAAAGGAGTGTATGATTTGCTGACAAACATAAATCAGGGGACTTTAGACTTTATACATCATTTTTTTACATGTATACCCAGGGTGTATAGCTTATTATTATCGTTGGATGCCCATGCAGTTTCTTAAATGTTAATCATCCCCGTTTAGTCATAGTTATGTTTATGGGTCTTAGGATCTGTATTAACCCCCATATCTCTATATTGTTTGAGCAACAGATCACTTAGTCCGAATTATTCTGACGTTTTATCAACTTTTTTCATATCGGTCTGTCGTAATCGACGACAGACCGATATGAAAAAAGTCGATGCCACGATCGTGATCGGTTGGATGTTTATTCGGAACGAATGTCTTTCAAGCGTGTTATCAACTTTGTCCCACAGTTGGGAAAATGGCGTCTGCCATCAGTCACCTTGGCCGGGTTCTCTCTCGCCTAAAAACGGCAGAGATTGTGAAGGTTTCAAAATGCATCAGCCAATCACGATTGTTTCATTTACAAAATGCAAATAGAGGTAATTTCTATATGTACGGGTCAATTAAGATTACGTGATCGTTGGTAAAGTACAATGCAGACAAAATGAAAGTTGTCTGGCCACTAAGTTAGTTTGACACCTATCGTGAGGGTACCGAAAATTGAACATTTTTAAAAGAAAAATGTTGTCTTGAAGTATTTTTCTTTTTTGTTTCTGCAACGCCAATGTTTTTTTTTACTATATTTAAACATTAGATGTCTTTATCTTTCATGTTATTTATTTCTTGTTTATTTATTTTCAGTTTCCTCTGGCCCTGACACAAGATTTAGACAGATAGATGTCTAGCTGATGACCCAGACACCTATCTGTCAAAATGTCTTAGTCTATAGTATAGACTGTTAAGGTCTATAGTATGTCAGTGCAAGAGGAAACTTGCGCTAATTGCCATTAGACTAGATGCAGTTTTTTTGTATAGTACACAGACACAATTCAGTGTGAACATTAATGTTTGATAAAGGTAATTACTCCAACAATGTTAGTGGTTTAACATGGCGAAATATTTTTGAAAAGTGCTGTGTGTCTCTGTCAGCACTATGAAATTTGAGGAAAATTTTGACAATTATTATGCAATGCATCTTATTTTAAGCAGTTTTCTTAAATTTAAAAAGCAATATTTTTATTTTATAATCACATTTTCACAAGTCCAAAGGATCAGTTAGGTAAGGTGATTCACTAGTCCTTGCTGAAATCTACTAGTCCAGGACTAGTGTCGATCCCTGTATAAAGGTCTGCTTATACTGTATTGAAATGTGTTGTCACAGATTTAGATATTGCTATCAAAGTCCATGGTTTTGTAAATGTAAGGCCAAACAGATGGAAATAGTACTGCAGGAAAAATACCTGCCGGTATACAAGTGAACAGTGCTGGCCTATTTAATATTATGCACTCCAATTAAATATTGTTATCATAACGTTTGTTGGCTGTTGGAAACATGGCATTTGACATAATGAAAAAAACTCATAAGTAAACGCTCTGTTAGTAAAGACACCCCTTTTAAGCTGCTTGGCCAATAAGAAGAGAGGTCATCATTGTGTGTTGTTACCTGACTCGCTATATAAATGCATATTAATCAATTTCGACTGTTTCCCAGACAATTCACCAAACGAACTATAGCTAATGTGTGCTACCGTAAAACTGTTGACTGGTCACCGTAAAACTGTTGACTGGTCACCGTAAAACTGTTGACTGGTCACGTGAAACTGTTGACTGGTCACGTGAAACTGTTGACTGGTCACGTGAAACTGTTGACTGGTCACGTGCAACTGTTGACTGGTCACATGTTAGGTAATCGAACGCACCTATAATTACAAGCACCCCGATGACCAAGCGTTTTTGGTACTGGATTGTTGACGGTTGTCTGTCGGTAGATCTAAACATCACATTCGACATAGAACTTTTTGGTTTTTCATTGGTCAAGTAACAAAACAGTTGTTTCATGCCTTATCAGTCAACAGTCAAAACCATTTTCCCTCGGAGTTGGGACCCACCAAATGAACTGTTTCCCTCGGCCTGCGGCCTCGGGAAACAGTTCATCTGGAGGGTCCCAACTCCTCGGGAAAATAGTTTTGACTGTTGACTGATAAGGCATGAAACAACTGTATACTGATTTTGGCTTGAAAAAGAAATTTCTGGATACTAGTATAATGTGGAGCTCATATAAATAATATAAAACAAATTTAGTTTCATAAGGCCAAAAAAACAAATTGCTTTTGTTTCCGCTTTGGAAAATGTTTTTACTATGTTTATATAAAGTAGGAGTTCTTACTGTAACACTAACAGTGACAATCAAAAAGTGCCAATGAAAATTTTAGGTTAGGCACAAAAATCTAAGGTAGGTATATACGTAGGGTTAGCGGAAACACCGGATGTTTTTATTGGGCATAAACAGAGAATATAAGTGTTTTAGGATCACATTATGTGACTGAAATATAACATTAAACAATCAAACAGGGTGTTAAGTGGAACTTGCATTGTTTTAATTAAGAATTGCTGTAGAGTCTTCAACTTGTATACTTTTCAATTCAATCCATATTGGGAGCAGTTTATTGCAAGTACTCAGCATCAAATTATCATTGTTAACAGATTTTAACATGTTTCTAAATCTTTGTGTTAAAATGAGATGTTTTTTACATTAAAGTGACTTATATTTTTTTTTTAAATCACAGCTGTAATGAAGGTGGACATGCCTTCCTTGTCCCCTACAATGTCAGAGGGCAGCATCATCAAATGGCACAAGAAAGAAGGTAAGTTTTAGGTCACCTGAGCTTTAGCTCACGTGACCTATTGCTATCCGTCTTCGTGCGTCGTCCGTTAACATTTTACATTTTAAACTTAAGCTGAAATACTAGCAAAGGAATTTCATTAATATTTCATGAGAACGTTACTGACATCTCCCTGACCAAGTGTTGTTATATTTCGGTTCGATCAGAAATCCAATATGGCCATCACGGCCGCCATTTTGAAAAACTATTTCAAACTTAAAGTCAAGTTCTGCTAAGCTAGACTCTGATGTCTTTTAACCCACCTTACCATTTTTGACGTTATATATATATCGCATATTCCATATCATCTATTCGTTATCTCTTTTATTATTTTAACCCCCTTTTTTTATTTTTTATTATCTACACATACAATGCGAATGCTTTTAAAAAAAACCCATTTTATCTGATTTTATCTTCGCTACTCACATGTTTGTAAAAAAAAAAAAAAAAAAAAAATCACCATGGCCCTAAATGACCACAGCCGTCGATGGGCCGTTATACATAAACAAACAAACAAACTGCTAAGCTGATTGAACTGAAACTTTGTAGGAATGATCGACTCATGGTCCTGACTAAGTGTTGTTATTTTTCGGGTCAATCAGAAATCCAATATGGCTGCCACTGATTGCCATTTTCAAAAACTATTTCAAACTTTAAGTCAAGTTCTAATGGGCCGATTAAACTGAAACTTTATAGGAATGATCGACTCATGGTCCTGACAAAGTGTTGTTATTTTTCCAGTCGATCAGAAATACAATTTGGCTGCCATGGCCGCTATTTTGAAAATAACTATTTCAAACTTAAAAACAAGTTCTAATAGGTTGATCTAACTGAAACTCGGTCTAGGAATGATCAGCTCATGGTCCTGAAAAACTTAACATTGTGGGACTCATTGTTTTAAGCAATACAGTTGAAAAAGACTCATTAAAATACATTGTAGATGGATCACTGCACCTATAGCTAGTTTACATAATAGTTGACCTCCATATTTGACTGATTACAGGTGATATGGTTGCCCCTGGCGATGACCTGTGTGACATCCAGACAGACAAAGCTATGGTGACACTGGATACAGATGAGGAAGGAATTCTTGCAAAAATCATAGTAAATTTATTTACAAACATCACATTATACAAATGTTTCTTGTATTATAAAAAGATACTTAGTGCAATTTAACCCAGTTTAGATATATGAGTGTCAAAAACGTTTCAGCTGGAAGTTTTGATGATTTAACTTCTGGTAATATATACATATCATTTGAAAATTACTTTTAAAAAATCAGTCACTATTTTGTTGACATTAGAACAAAAATGTATAATAATTTCAGATCAATTTTACTTGAGTGTTGGGTTATGAATCATTTTAACAAGTGCTCTTTTTTCCCTTCTTTTCAAGTTTTTTACTACATTGTACCAGTATATTGCAACATATAGGCCTATGTGCATGTATCATAATTTTATTTGAAATATCGCAATCTTAATACATGCATTTAAGTCCAGACAGTACCCAAACCTCTTTAAGACTATACCAAAAATGTAGAAATTTTCTCACTCTGGTATTTTATCCTAGTGATTTTCCAGTTTCCCCAACACTTAAAATTAACTTGTCATGATGTGTTTACATGAGTCTCAAAGTTTGTTAAAATTACTTCTAAAGTGAAACTGCATATACTATTGATGGTTTTGTTGAGATATGCAATTAAATATTTGATTAGACAAACAGGATGGCCATTATGATTTCTGATGTTCAGAGACATTTAGGGCTATGACTTAATTCTGCTGGGTCGACAATGTTCATACTTAGTGTTACAAATTAAACAGGGCATAATTTGGAGCAAACTACTGACTTGAATGTTTTAGGAAATAATATATCTGAAGAGGCCTCTGTTTTACTGGGCCATTTTGAGTATTCAAGATGGCTTCCATGATATTTGTTTAGCTGAAACATTTATAACTATAACTCTAATCGGCCGACTTGAGTGTTACTTACTGAAAATGCATCTGTCGCCAAACATTTTTTGTAGCAATGGCATGGTTGGATTGAGGGACCAGTACTTTCTAGCTTCCCTTGCAATTAGTACCTGCTAGCTTTAAAGTTTGACTTTATATTTTTGATATGATAGATACCGGAGAACACTACGGACATCAAGGTGGGGACATTGATCGCTGTAATGGTTGAGGAGGGTGATGACTGGCAGAACGTCCAAGTTCCTACAGATGCTGTGCCACCAGCCCCTGGTGGAGACCAGCCTGTACAGGAAACAGCAGGAACTCCCACAGAGCCAACAACAACCGTAGGGTAGGTACAACACAAGTAGCTTGCTGTCCCACAGAGCCAACAACCGTAGGGTAGATACAACACAATAGCTTCCTGTCCCGTAGAGCCAACAACTGTAGGGTAAGTACAACACAGGTAGCTTCCTGTCCCACAGACCCAACAACAGTAGGGTAGGTACAACACCAGGAGCTTCCTGTCCCACAGAGCCAACAACAACAACTGGATGGTAGGTACAAAACAAGTAGCTTCCTGTCCCACAGACCCACCAACAACAACTGTAGGGTAAGTACAACACAGGTAGCTTCCTGTCCCACAGACCCAACAACAGTAGGGTCGGTACAACACAAGTAGCTTCCTGTCCTGTAGAGCCAACAACAGAAGGGAAGTTACAACACAAGTAGCTTCATGTCCTGTAGAGCCAACAACAACTGTAGGGTAATTACAATACAATTAGCTTCCTGTCCCACAGAGCCAAAAACAACAACTGTAGGGTAGGTACAATACAATTAGCTTCCTGTCCCACAGAGCCAACCACAACAACTGTAGGGCAGGTACAATACAAGTAGCTTCCTGTCCCACAGAGCCAACAACTGTAGGGTAGGTACAATACAATTAGCTTCCTGTCCCACAGAGCCGACAACAACAACTGTAGGGTAGGTACAACACAAGAAGATTCCTGTCCCACAGACCCAACAACAACATCTGTAGGGTAACCATAGAGCCAACAACTGTAGGGTAAGTACAACACAGGTAGCTTCCTGTCCCACAGACCCAACAACAACATCTGTAGGGTAACCATAGAGCCAACAACTGTAGGGTAAGTACAACACAATGTAGGGTAGATACAACACAATAGCTTCCTGTCCCGTAGCGCCAACAACTGAAGGGTAGGTACAACACAATAGCTTCCTGACCCGTAGCGCCAACAACTGTAGGGTAGGTACAGCACAGGTAGCTTCCTGTCCCGTAGAGCCAACACCAGTAGGGTAGGTACAACACAATAGCTTCCTGACCCGTAGCGCCAACAACTGTAGGGTAGGTACAACCCAATAGCTTCCTGTCCCATAGAGCCAAAAACTGTAGGGTAAGTACAACACAAGTAGCTTCCTGTCCCGTAGAGACAACAACTGTAGGGTAGGTACAACACAGGTAGCTTCCTGTCCCACAGACCCAACAACAGTAGGGTCGGTACAACACAAGTAGCTTCCTGTCCTGTAGAGCCAACAACAGTAGGGGAGGTACAACACCAGTAGCTTCCTGTCCCACAGAGCCAACAACATCAACTGTAGGGTAGGTACAACACAATTAGCTTCCTGTCCCGTAGAGCCAACAACTGTAGGGTAAGTACAACACAAGTAGCTTCCTGTCCCACACAGCCAACAACAACTGTAGGGTAAGTACAACACAGGTAGCTTCCTGTCCCACAGACCCAACAACAGTAGGGTAGGTACAACGCAAGTAGCTTCCTGTCCCGTAGAGCCAACAACAGTAGGTTAGGTACAACACAATAGCTTCCTGTCCCATAGAGCCAACAGCTGAAGGGTAGGTACAACACAATAGCTTCCTGGCCGATAGAGCCAACAACTGTAGGGAAAGTACAACACAATTAGCTTCCTGTCCCGTAGAGCCAACAGCAACAACTGCAGGGTAAGTACAAGATAAGTAGCTTCCTGTCCCACAGAGTCAACAACAACTGTAGGGTAAGTACAGCACAAGTAGCTTCCTGTCCCACAGAGCCAACAACATCAACTGTAGGGTAGGTACAACACACTTAGCTTCCTGTACCACAGAGCCAACAACAACAACTGTAGGGCAGGTACAATACAAGTAGCTTCCTGTCCCACAGAGTCAACAACAACTGTAGGGTAAGTACAGCACAAGTAGCTTCCTGTCCCACAGAGCCAACAACTGTAGGGTAGGTACAACACAAGTAGCTTCCTGTCCCACAGACCCAACAACAACAACTGTAGGGTAAGTACAATACAATTAGCTTCCTGTCCCACAGAGCCAACAACAACAACTGTAGGGTAGGTACAATACAAGTAGCTTCCTGTCCCACAGAGCCAACAACAACAACTGTAGGGTAAGTACAACACAAGTAGATTCCTGTCCCACAGACCCAACAACAACTGTAGGGTAATTACAACACAATTAGCTTCCTGTCCCGTAGAGCCAACAGCAACAACTGCAGGGTAAGTACAACATAAGTAGCTTCCTGTCCCACAGAGTCAACAACAACTGTAGGGTAAGTACAGCACAAGTAGCTTCCTCCCCCACAGAACCAACAACAACTGTAGGGTAAGTACAATACAAGTAGCTTCCTGTCCCACACATCCAACAACAACAGTAGGTTAGGTACAATACAATTAGCTTCCTGTCCCACAGAGCCAACAACAACCGTAGGGTAAGTACAACACAATTAGCTTCCTGCCCCGTAGAGCCAACAACAACTGTAGGGTAGGTACAATACAAGTAGCTTCCTGTCCCGCAGAGACAACAACAACAACTGTAGGGTAAGTACAATACAAGTAGCTTCCTGTCCCACACATCCAACAACAACAGTAGGTTAGGTACAATACAATTAGCTTCCTGTCCCACAGAGCCAAAAACAACAACTGTAGGGTAGGTACAATACAAGTAGCTTCCTGTCCCACAGAACCAACAACAACTGTAGGGTAAGTACAATACAAGTAGCTTCCTGTCCCACACATCCAACAACAACAGTAGGTTAGGTACAATACAATTAGCTTCCTGTCCCACAGAGCCAAAAACAACAACTGTAGGGTAGGTACAATACAAGTAGCTTCCTGTCCCACACATCCAACAACAACAGTAGGTTAGGTACAATACAATTAGCTTCCTGTCCCACAGAGCCAACAACAAAAACTGTAGGGTAAGTACAACACAAGTAGATTGCTGTCCCACAGACCCAGCAACTGCAGGGTAGGTACAACACAAGTAGCTTCCTGCCCCACAGACCCAACAACAACTGTAGGGTAATTATAACACAATTAGCTTCCTGTCCCGTAGAGCAAACAACAACTGTAGGGTAAGTACAATACAAGTAGCTTCCTGTCCCACACATCCAACAACAACAGTAGGTTAGGTACAATACAATTAGCTTCCTGTCCCACAGAGCCAACAACAACTGGAGGGTAAGTACAACACAATTAGCTTCCTGCCCCGTAGAGCCAACAACAACTGTAGGGTAAGTATAACAGAAGTTGCTTGCTGTCCCACAGACCCAACAACTGTAGGGTAGGCACAACACAAGTAGCTTCTTGTCCTGTAGAGCCAACAACAGTAGGGTAGGTACAACACAAGTAGCTTCCCGTCCTGTGGAGCCAACAACAGTAGGGTAGGTACAACACAAGTAGCTTCCGGTCCCACAGAGCCAACAACAACTGTAGGGTAAGGACAACACAAGTAGCTTCCTGTCCCACAGAGCCAACAACAAAAACTGTAGGGTAAGTACAACACAAGTAGATTCCTGTCCCACAGACCCAACAACAACAACTGTAGGGGAAGTACAATACAAGTAGCTTCCTGTCCCACAGCGCTAGCAACAACAGTAGGGTAAGTACAACACAAGTAGCTTGCTGTCCCACAGACACAGCAACTGTAGGGTAGGTACAACACAAGTAGTTTCCTGTCCCACAGAGCCAACAACAACTGGAGGGTAAGTACAACACAAGTAGCTTCCTGTCCCTAAGAGCCAACATCAACTGTAGGGTAAGTACAACACAAGTAGCTTCCTGTCCCACAGCCCCAACAACAACAACTGTAGGGTAAGTACAATACAATTAGCTTCCTGTCCCACAGAGCCAAAAACAACAACTGTAGGGTAGGTACAATACAAGTAGCTTCCTGTCCCGCAGAGACAACAACAACAACTGTAGGGTAAGTACAACACGATTAGCTTCCTGTCCCGTAGAGCCAACAATAACTGTAGGGTAAGTACAATACAAGTAGCTTCCTGTCCCACAGAGCCAAGTAGGTACAACACAAGTAGCTTCCTGTCCACAGACCCAACAACAACAACTGTAGGGGAAGTACAACACAATTAGCTTCCTGTCCCGTAGAGCCAACAACAACTGTAGGGTAAGTACAACACAAGTAGCTTGCTGTCCCACAGACCCAGCAACTGTAGGGTAGGTACAACACAAGTAGCTTCCTGTCCTGTATAGCCAACAACAGAAGGGAAGTTACAACACAAGTTGCTTGCTGTCCCACAGACCCAACAACTGTAGGGTAGGTACAACACAAGTAGCTTCCCGTCCTGTAGAGCCAACAACTGTAGGGTAGGTACAACACAAGTAGCTTCTTGTCCCACAGAGCCAACAACTGTAGGGTAGGTACAACACAAGTAGCTGCCCGTCCTGTAGAGCCAACAACTGTAGGGTAGGTACAACACCAGTAGCTTCCTGTCCCACAGAGCCAACAACTGTAGGGTAGGTACAACACAAGTAGCTGCCCGTCCTGTAGAGCCAACAACTGTAGGGTAGGTACAACACCAGTAGCTTCCTGTCCCCCAGACCCAACAACTGTAGGGTAGGTACAACACAAGCAGCTTCCCGTCCTGTAGAGCCAACAACTGTAGGGTAGGTACAACACCAGTAGCTTCCTGTCCCCCAGACCCAACAACTGTAGGGTAGGTACAACACAAGTAGCATCCCGTCCTGTAGAGCCAACAACTGTAGGGTAGGTACAACACAAGTAGCTTCCTGTCCCACAGAGCCAACAACAACTGTAGGGTAAGTACAACACAAATAGCTTCCTGTCCCGTAGAGCCAACAACAACAACTGCAGGGTAAGTACAACATAAGTAGCTTCCTGTCCCACAGATCCAACAACAACTGTAGGGTAAGTACAACACAAGTAGCTTCCTGTCCCACAGAGCCAACAACAACAGTAGGGTAGGTACAACGCAAGTAGCTTCCTGTCCTGTAGAGCCAACAACAGTAGGGTAGGTACAACACAAGTAGCTTCCTGTCCCACAGACCCAACAACAGTAGGGTAGATACAACGCAAGTAGCTTCCTGTCCTGTAGAGCCAACAACAACTATCAAATTCTTTCTTCAGTATAAATTGAAATAGGAATACTAAATCAGTTTTAAATTGTTAGCTTTATCTGGACCGTATGTCACGTACGTGTCTTGAGTGATATTATTTGTTAAAAAATTTACTCGGTTTAACTATCAAATATGCTTGAATAATAATAAGCTTTATCAAAATTTCAGGCCTATTGGACCATCTGTTCGCAAGCTGATGGAGGAATATAATCTATTTGGTGTGTCTGTGCCTGGTACAGGGCCACATGGGAGGCTCACAAAGGGGTAAGTAACAAGGCATTTCATTGGTACTCATACCAAACTAACCAACCATACCAAAGAGTGGGTAACAGTAAAAATACTCAGAAATGTAACAGAACATCTCATTGGTACTGATGTCAACATCACAAAAATGTAGGTAATAGGTGTAGCAGACTCACCAAGATAGGTAACAACTTACAAGATCTCTCATTGGTGCTTGAAGCAGACTCTTAAAACAGTAGATACCCTCGACTGTTATAGTTCAATTAATGGATGATAAATTGAAAAATACAAAATAGAGAGACATATGAACCATTACAACAGATGGATGCATCATACATTATTTTATTTTATTAAACATGATATTTATATGACCAGGGTGTGGAACAAGGCTTCTCAAGGGTGGTCATAACGATCTCACTATGGATTTGTACAAAACATCAAGTTGATTATTTCAACCATGGTTTCACAATACAATGTCCACCATGGATTGACATTTTTTGTTAAGTTGTAACTACTGGTTACAACAACTTTGGCCAAACTAACCCATAAACCATGGTCTAACTATACTGTGACCATGGTTGACCCATGCTGTTCCCATGATAAGACAATGGGTGACTATGCTTTCCCATAATTAATTTCAAACTTTGAAATTAATTATGGCTAACTAATTAAGTCACTTGCCTGGGTGATTTGGCAATTTTCGTCCCACCCCCTCTATCATTTTGTCCCCCACCCTTCACCCTTGAAATTTGGAATGTCTTTCACATTTTCCTGAGCAGGGGACCTGAATGACTATGTCCTTGTTAGGTGTTGAGCTCTTATTAACAAAGTTCTATTTTATCTTATTTAGAAATCTCATTAAATAAAAAAAAAATGCAATTTAATTTTAAAGATAGCTTTGTATTTTTATTTGCCTGTAAGAAATAGCTTAATATTGTTCTTTTATTTCAGTGATATACTCAACTATATAAAAGCAAAAAGTCTAAGCAAACAAACATTACCAGTAGAATCTGTACAGCCTACAGAGCCTGCTGTTACTACTAGTGGACAAGCAGTTCCACCCGCTGGGCCTCCTCGACCACTCCAGGATATAGAGGGCGCTGAGTTTATAGATTTCGAACTGACCTCCATGAGGAAAACGATAGCAAAAAGGCTGACACAGTCTAAGGTAACATCCTTACACCAATACAAATTCACGTATTGATCAAATTGTTTTTAGCGAACTTAATTTTACAGAACAGAGGGCACTCAGGTACAGGCTCTGTTATCCAATATTTAATGATATATATATAGAGAGAAATGAATCAAACAACAAGAGTGTTTAATATCAGTTGACATAACATGGTTCACAGTTGTTGTAAAATAAATAAAGTTTTATTAAAAACACACACAAAATGTGATATTTGTCTGGTTATAAGATCCTAGCTGCATTGTACATGGTATCAATGTTATGTTTTCCTTTCCAGACAACAATACCACACGCCTACATATCAGTGGAATGTAATTTGGGTGCAGTCACAAAAATGAGAAATCAGCTGAAAAGTATGTAACAACAGAGTGTTAGGAAATATTTAAACAAAAAATGTCAGAACGAAAGGTATTGATTTCTTAATTTGAAATTTTCATGGAGTTTTCTCAATTCCTTAGAGAAATTTATGTCAATACACATCAACTTATAGTGCTGCACATTTTCTTTTTGAAATGTAAAAATAATTTAACTTTACTTGATGTCAATAGTTTAATCTGAAATATTATAGTGGTTTTTAATTAAAATCATATTATAAAAAATTGAAGTGAAACATAAATTAAAATGTATGATGTTTGTTCTCTTTTCAGGTGAGAATGTTAAAGTCTCTGTGAATGATTTCATAATCAAGGCATCTGCAATAGCACTACAGGTATACAGAAGTAAATGTGTTGCCCTGATGACATATGTGACCTAATTCTTACTAGATTGTAGATTTAAGATTATTAAATTCTATCAATAAAGGACAATGAGTGCATAAGTGCATGCATTCTTTTAAATTATTATCTCATTAAAGGTAAAAAGTAATCTATTATAAAACATTATGAAGGGGATGGCTATAGCCAATTGCAAGGGGCTATTGATTTTGGGGAGTCCGAGGGGGGATCCAAATTGCAGTTAGGGCGAAGACTTTTGTGGGAGGACAAAGCTCCTAAGAAGCTGTAGAAAATAGAAAATAAACATGTATAAACAGGGATTTAGTAAAAGATAAATTCGAATCTCAAGGTCTGCAATCATACATTAACTACAATTTCTAAGTTAAAATTTTGCACATTTCCACAGTTAACAAAGGTACTGTACACTACAGTATTTATTTTCATAATTTTCTTTGCAAGATTAATTGCTAAAACCATCTTTTTTCCATGTAGATAATATAATATGTCACCAAATTAAAGAATTTCTTTACCATACATGATTTCCCCAGAGAGTGCCATGTGTCAACTCGGTGTGGCAAGGAGATACAGCACAGTCCTCTCCAGCTGTAGACGTGTCAGTGGCCGTGGCAACAGATCAGGGGCTGATAACTCCAATTGTTAAAAGTGCAGCACATTTACCAGTAGATGAAATATCAAGTACAGTTAGAGTGAGTATAAGTAAATTAAAAGCGTGTCTGCATTACCACTAGATAACCCTACCAAAACAAACATAGTTAGGAGACTGTAGATCTGGAGTGCTGAATGTGACACCATTGTGTAACATTTGAGATATATGTGGCTGTTGGCTGTTCCATTTGTTGAAAATTTACTTAAAGATTTGAAGAACAGATATGAAATGGAAATATAAGTTCATTCTCAAAATCAACGAAAAATAATAAAATTGTATAATAATGTATTGAACATTTATTTCGGAGCTTCCAATCATCTATAGTTATGCAAATTGATTTTTGGGACTGATTGGAAAACCAAGATGGCTGACTGATGGTCATTAAAATTGAAAGTTAAAATTTGTTAGTGCTACTTCTAGGAAAGTACTAAAGGAATATTACTGAAATTTCGGGTATATATAGTTCTGGTCTCTCCAATGGTGTGTAGCTGTGCATATTGAATTTTTCGACTGATAAAGAAACCAAGATGGTCAAAAGGCCAGCATTTTGAAATTCAAGAACTGAAGTTTAATTTGTTGGCGCTATTTCTCAGAAAATATTGGAGGAACTTTTATCAAAGTTCATGAGACAAAGTAAAAATAAGATGGCCAGAATCATACATGCCATAACTTTCCGGTGCAAAATAGTGAGATCCGTGATTTTTTTTTAGTGAGATTTGGTCAAAAATAGTGAGATTTTTTTTCTGAATTAGTCAGAAATTCGTGAGACATTTAAACTTAAATTATACTGCATATAACATAGTATTAAATTATTTGTGTTATTCTGAAGCCTCCAATAACTTTGTTTGAAAATTGAAGATTTATTGATATTTTAAAGGATTTTAGGGAGGTTTACACATGACAGCAGATAAAGCTATCAACATTTGAAAGTAAATAATATATCACAACACTTTCATCAAAAGTTAAAAAAATAAATAATGAAGGGATGTCCTTGTTACCCAGGTTAGAAAATATCAAGTGATTTTCTAAGCATTCAGTGATCTTGACTTTTGACAGTTCAAGTTTGTTATCACTATTTGTCACGAGGTACTTGACAGATCTTTCTCAAATTTCAAGTTTAGGTTCCCCTTGTTACACACATGAAGTATTGTGCTTATTCGACGAGAAGTTCACTTTGGAAAAACAGCAGTATGAAAATTTGATTAAAAGTTACCACAAAGTGCATTTACAATTACATGAGAAAAGATAATTCTTGCATAGAACCAATTAATGAAGATGATACAATGGTTGGTGCCAAGTTATTAAAGTGAACACATTTCCATATGTTGTCAGATTATTACATCATATTCTGTTGTTTCAACAGGAATTAGCAATGAAAGCTAGAGAAGGAAAATTGCAGTTGCATGAGTTCCAAGGAGGATCTTTTACGTAAGTTTATCATATTCGGGTACGATAGAAATGATTGATGTGCCAATTTGTGTTTTTAAGATTGGCAGCCAACAGCTTGCCAATCCTTAGTGACTGTGGCAAGTGAAAATGTAAACAACAGCCTGTTCATTCTTGTTCAAGAGTTATTCATCTGACAAAAAGTTTTTTTCATAATTTATGAAGAACGATTTCCAACATATGTTCCTAAATTAAAGATGCATTAATGAACCAATCAGATTTCATCCGAAGGACCTTTGCTATGATGTATTGTTGGGGATAAACATGCTCTATGGACTTCTTGTTTATTTTTTGTATATATTGCAAGAAAGCCTTTTATTTGTAGATTAAAAAAGTCCACAAAATAAGTCTTTTAACATTAAAATAGAAAATCTGTGACCTTGATCTCTTGCAGAATCTCCAACCTTGGGATGTTTGGCATCAGTGAGTTCACGGCTGTTATCAATCCTCCCCAGACAGCCATCATGGCAGTGGGGGCGTCCCGGCTCGTCGTCAGCAGTGAGGGTAAACCCCAAACGAATCTCACAGTTAGTCTGTCGTATGACAGTCGTGTCATAGATGAGACCGAGGCATCGCGGTTCCTGGAAGTATGGCGCGACGTAATGGAAAACCCAAGTTTTATGATATCTGGTTCCCCAAAATCTCAACTTGCAGCAGACTTTGCATGATGATAAACAAAATAACAGTACAATTTTTAAAGAAACTTCAAGTGAATATTTTTGTTTTAGTATGTTTGTTATGGAAATAGCATATAGCATACAGATTAACTAGAAAGACTGCCAGAACTGTCATGTACCATACATTGGACACTATACTGTGACTAAGTGAAGCTGCTGCTATACTTTTACTACAGATGTCATGAAAACTAGCTCATTTATAATATGTGGTCCTGGAAAAAATTCAGAAGGTAAAATGTTGTTTGGAACGAGAAAAACTTTAAACCATTCATAGTTACATTCATGCACATGTACTTAAATTAAATTAATGATATATGGATTTATTAGATTTTTGATTTAATACCAGAACTGCATGGAATGGGGGAGGCAAGTTACAGGAGAATTTCTCAAGTTCAGAAATGTGATCATATACACTGCAAGAACTGTAGATATTTTTACCATAGTTCCATAGAACTACAACATGTGCAATGCTATAATTTTCAGGTAATTTTAAGTGACTGTGTTAATCCCAGACACTAGTAGATTGCATTCCTACACACTTCAAGGCAGAAAATTAGTTTTTAAAAGTATAATGCTACCTTAAAATTTTACATATACAGTTCGTTTCCAAATGAATAGGAATTTGAACTCGCTTTTTTAATTGATGGCCTTTTTTTTTAGTTTCATAAGAATGAACCCATTGATTACACTGTATGTGGCAATTCTGAATGATAAGGAGGCCAATTTTTGTTTAAGGGAGACAATTCTCAACAAATCTCAGATGTAACTTGTGGGGTAGTATACATCCCTAAGTATAGATAATGCCCATTTCATTTGTATATGCGTAATATTGTACTGTATGTATACAACACTATGATGTTAGTAAGTTGCTAGGATACCTTGGCAAAACATCAGGAATATTACAGGCTTTCCTGTATTTACGCATGTGTAAAAGGTGTTACCGGGGTGATCATGTTTCAGTGCTCCTGTTTATCAATATTTATTAAAGCTTTACATAAATAAAATTGTATATTGTGTTATTATTTTCTATATTGAAGTATTATTGTATCTCGCCAGTGGGCCTATTAAACCCCAACTTAGTACAGTACTTCCTTACTTGAAGGAATTGCTGTTCAGATCCAAAGGTCAAGGCCACCTACAATACATAGACAAGAACATCACTAAACCTGATGGACTATGCTTCCCAGAGCTGGAAAAAGTGTGACCTCAATGTGACTTTGACCATACAGACCCAAAAGTGGTATGCCACACAATGGCTTGGCAATCCTACATGTATTCCTTAAATTTAATTGGGCCATCTTCAGGGAATCAAAAACTATGGCCTGCACAATGTATCTGACCTTTGACCTCAATGTGACCATGACCTGGGGTGTACAAACCTATGCGACACACCACCTTGCCATCCTACATATATCCCATAAATTTCATTGAGCTGCAGTGGCGGATCCAGAGACCTTTCTAGGGGGGTTTCCATGTGGGGAAAAATTGAGGAAAATGGTGAAAATATATGATTTTTAAAGAAAATTCTCAGGGTGGGGGGGGGTTTCCTGAAGCCCAAAAAACCCCTCTGGATCCGCCACTGAGCTGTATTCAGATTTGGAAGTGATGGCCTGGACGATGAATTTAACCTATCATTTCAATGCAACCTCGCCCTTTGACATACAGAGCAATTAGTAGAAAGGAAAACATTTACCTCAATTTCTCCTGTTGGGCCCTGCCTCTGAAGATTTTTTAATCATTTGACTCCAGTGACAATAAAATTAAAATTTTGAGAAGAAGTTGTTTAAATAAAAACGCTGATGCCACATGAGATGGACGGGTGCGCCTGGTGAGATAAAAATGATCCTTGTGATCAGTTATATTCTGTTCATACTGTAAAAAAACAACTCAATTTTTTGTATCGCATGATAATTTAATTAGTAACAATTTCTAAATTCTTAACAGCAATCAGCATATTTTGCCTAATAAGGTACATTGTAACACACATTTAGACAAAGTCATTCAATTCTACGACTGAATGCTTAAATATATAACTACATATTGTACATGTTGCATACTTTTGGAGAAAGTATATCCCTACATGTATAACAGTTCTTAACTCTGCTATAAAGGTGTTGGATGTACGAATGCTACCCAGTCAAAACCTACAGCAGTAGATTTGAGACATATTGGACAACAAACAATACAGATAACGCACAATATAAACTGTTCCAGCATGCAGACCAGGTGAGCTAAAAATAGATTAACCTCAAGAAAAAATGGCCATGTTTTTCACTTTGAAACTTAATTCATATTCTGATACATCATTGTTTTATCAATTTCCACAGCAGTACAAAAGCCAGTCATACAATGCTTACATAATGAATAAGCCATATTTATTTGGGCATTTGAAGTTATAATGTATCGGGTATTCATAACCCTGAAAAAATAATAAAAAATGTATCAAAATCAGTATTTATGATTCTGTCAAAAGGAACTTTACAAAGTGAATTTTTATAAATAGAATATTTGGTTTTCAGGCTATATTTACCACAAAAAAAAACAACTGCGAGATTCTATATAGGAAAATTTGTGTCTGTAAAGATAGTGAGATTTGATCGATCAGACATATTGCATAAATGTAAACCACAAAAAAAACAAAAAAAACCCATTGTGGATGGCAAATTAATGTTATTTGCATAATGTACAGAAGACGACATTAAATATCACAGATTGTTTTTTGTTTAGAATTCTCTTTGTCATTATAATATAAATGCATTAAATTAAAATATATATACATTTGGTTAATATAAAACATAAAATAACATATTTAATTGGTAAGATAAACCCAGGGTTCCTAGAAAAGTGTTCATACCGGACTGTGATGCTCTCTCCAAGAGGTATATTCCTGACATGATCTTCATATAAAATGAAAATGTGCCACAAAGCTGGTTTCACCTAGATCATGGGCTTATCTCAATACGTAGTGAATATGATTGTACAACATATCTGATTAGCTTGTAAATACTACTAATTAGTATAATATCAGTTTAGCATATATAAATATTATATTACAGTACATGAACAATCCTTTGTGACTACTTGTACAGTTTTTTCTTGGAAGACATACCAGCTATCAAACGAGCATTGTTCATCCATTGATAAATTAAATCCTCTGCATTCCTATGGACACAAGTACAAAAACTCTCACATATCAGGTGTGTAATACACAGCTCTGTCTCTAGCCCACTGATATATCATATATCATGTTGGAAGGAGACCTACACCTCAACTTTCTCACAAATCAAGCCGCTAGGTGAGCTACAACTTAACTTTCTTACTTGTCACATAGGAAGCTTATCATTTAGTACGAGTACTAGAATGTTACAGTAACACTCATGGTGGCCGGGTGGTGCAGTCGATAATGCACCCCTCTTTCACCACTGCGGCCAGGTGGCGCAGTGGATGACGCACACCTCTTTCACCACAGCGGCCGGGTGGTGCAGTGGATGACGCACCCCTCTTTCACCACGGCGGCCAGGTGGCGCAGTGGATGACGCACATCTCTTTCACCAAGGCCGCCATTTCAATTCCCTGATTGGAAGTGAAGAAGTATAGCAGCACATGCCCGACCACATGGATTTTCTCCGAACACTCCGGTTTCCACCCATATGCAGACCCCTGCATGCTAACATCCGGGCCAACAAGGGTGATTAAAATCAGTTGAATTAACTTGTTTCATAATTGTTTTAAAAATGAACAAAGTTTTGATTTATATACTCGAGGTATTTTTTACCATTTCATGAGCTCTTTTCTTTAACAAATAATGAAAACATATCGGGACAATTGCTAAAATTACAGAGTATTAAGAGTTGATTACAGCTATGAAACATAAATCCCCAAATTCAAATTTTACGATTGTCTAAAAAACTATGTGTCTTAAAGTTGAAAATATCCTTACCAGTACCTGGATGAATGTAGTACAGAAACATTGCCTCAAATTGGAACATGATGAATGTGTTTTCATGAGAGCTATGTACAAGTAGGTCCTAAATTGTCCGAAAAATTGTACATTTAACTACAATGTACACAACAATGTGAATTTTGTATCTCAGTTGCCTCCTTTCCTCCAATCAGAGGAAACATTAACATCTACATACAAACACTAACATCTACATACATGTTTGACTTACTTCAGAAAAAAATGAAATAATATACAGGTAAACTATATTTTATAACATAGGGAAAATGTTAAAATAAAGAGCACAATCTGTCAGCATCAATAATCTTTGCTACTGTATTTCAACTGAGGTAAGATAAAGAAAATGTAAATCTACAAGGCACTTAGCACATCAATACAGTGTCAGCCATTGACATTCTAGATACAGTGGAGCCTAGTTAGACCAGACATTTTTACACAAAAATCCTTACCTTTCTACATTCAAAAAAAGGAATCCTGATGATGCTATACAAAAAGTGTGACCTATTACCCAATGTGAATTCTTTTGAAAGCAAATTATTTGGGTTATTACTTTAAAAATGTGAAATCTTCTATCATGATATGAGTACTTGAAATATATAATCATACCTTTAAACCACTTATTTTAAGAGTCTGAAACTTTTCAAATTTCAGTAGATTTTTTGCTGCTTTTTGAAAAATTCAGTTCAGTGACAGATACAAGTGCAAATTGATATTGATAAAAAATATCAGTTTTGCACTTTAAAACATTAGCCCATTATTACATTTGCAATTTTCAACTGTCATGCTTTTATGTGGTCCATTCCATCAACTAAAATGTAACCTGTTTTATTTCCCACTCCAACGACCAAGCACCATGTTAGCATAATCATAAACAATAGAAAATAGCCGACCAGCGGCCGTTTATGTTAAAGGAGTAGATTATTTCCCTGTAAATCTCAAAGCACAGATAAAACCTAGAGTCACTCCGAGTGACCTCTGCCTGTATAAACATGTACAACTACAAATTACAACTTATGGAGATTAATATTAAGAAGTTTATCAAAATAGAAGGTGTTCTTATATACTGTACTCTCTGTATTTTATCTAGGAGCTTTCAATTTAACAACAACAAAAAGTGCATGGCAATAATGCTGAAGATACCATAAATCAATGGTAAGTTTATCTCTACAAAATACTTAATTAACAAAACTGCTTAGTTCCGATAAACAGGCAACAGGTAAAAAAGATTTCCAGAGTTAGTCCCGTTTGACTAGGCTTCACAGTACTCAATAAAGTTAAAGATAAACACATTATTGTATACTATAAATATAAAAAATAGTTTGCATACAAAACAATTAAATATATATACGCGTGTTTCAAAATATCATGAACACATTAAATGTTAAGCTGAGCCTCAGAAAATCAATCTGGTGTTGACTCAAGGTAAGCTTTTTACCATTAGATGGGAGTAAAACCTTGTGACCTGTGCTACACACTGTATTAAATGTAATCAGTTGCCAAGTTAATTAATTATTACAACCCACTACCAGTCCACCACCGCAGGGAGTTTATTGCTCCAAATATACAATACATGTAGTGCATCTTCCCTTAGAACTTTTATACACTTGTGAGCTTTTATACATTCGTCCACTTAGCCTTTATAACATGCAGTAACCTGTCTACTCTGGATCTCCACTTGGATATTTAGACCCTGCATTTTTGTCCTCAATTATTGTAGGTCAACTGTCTTATTCAGACCATGTGGAGTATGGAGTACACCATTGTTTTACTGAACTTGATGTGTGAACCTTTGGTGATGCACACTGTTTATTCCCGCCTTTCTATTTTTCTAGGTCTAGTTTTTCCTGTTATAAATATATGTGATCTGTTGGGTTTTTATTGTAAATTGTGGTGGGCAAATAATTAACATTAAAATTGGCTATTTTCTGTGCTGTCACTATTACTACATTTCAAATTGTATTTAGTTACATACACATACAAATCCAAAATGTTGATATATCTAACATCACTACAGTATAAATTGACAAATTTGTTTGGTCCAATCATATTCATTTTTGACTGGTTACACTGTAATACAAAATCAAATATCAGCTATGTACATCTTCTTACAAGCTTTTCATAAATGAAGCAATGTCCCTCCTCAACTCCACTAGTCCTTAGCAGACAACAACATTTATAAAATATCTTCACCCTCAGTATTTCAGATTTTGATGTGCATTATATGAATGTTATCCTCCACAACCTCCACAGCCCCCGCCTCCACAGCCCCCACCCCCACAACCCCCTCCATC